GTACATGTTAGTGCAAACTGAAAATATTTTTTCAGTAGGTTTAAACAACTTTTTTTTTTTTTTAATCCATTTTAAGTCTTACCATGGTTGAAAGCTATACTTGTAACTCAACTCTTGAAGGGAAAACATGGGAATAGAGTGGAAGATATATAAGGACTAGGACGGAATAACTTTGTCGTGGTTTGAGCTCAGAAGGCAACTGAGCACCACGCAGCTGCTCACTTCCCCTTCCCCCCCAGCGATGAGAAGGAAAAAATAAGGCAGGCTTGGGATTCAAGATAGGGCAGGGAGGGGAAAATCACCTACTATGGTCATGGGCAAAAGGCAGACTCCTTAGGGGAATCAAAAAAGAATGCAGATTTATTACAGACACTAATAACACCACCACTTACTTAACAGAGTAGGACAGTGAGAAGCATTGCCACAGCTTGAGAACACCTTCCCCCCACCTCTCCCTTCTTCCCGTGCTCAGCTCTGCTCCTGATAACTCTGCCTCCTCCCCCAGTGGTGCAGGGGCAGGGAATGGGGTGTGTGTGTGTGTGTGTAGTCAGTGCTGCCACTTCTTCTGTCTTTGGTGGGGGTGGAACTTCTGGACCTTCTTCTCCCTGCTCCAGCCTGGTCCCCCTCTCACAGGAGACAGTCCTCCACAAACTTTCTCCACCGTGAGTCCCTCTCACGGGCTGCAGCCCTTCCTGAGCTGCACCAGTGTGGGACACCCCCACATGCTGCAATCCTCCCAGCACTGAACTACAACAGTGGGGGCTGCTTCCTCCCACACAGTCCCAGCCTCCTTTGGGTACAGCCACCTTAATTGGTCATACAAGGCCCCTCACAGGCCATAACTCAGTGTCTGCTCCACCGTAGATCTTCATGGGTGGCAGGGGGGGCCACCCTGCTGTCTCGCCACAGGATACAGGGGGGTCTCTGCTCTGGCACACCTCCCCCCTCCTCTCTTCCTCCGTTCCTCCACTGACCTTGGTGTTTATGCAGCTGCAGCAACTCTTCCTCACCAGGTCTCTTCTTAAATACGCTATTGCAGTGGTACAGCTGATTGGCTCAGCCTTGGTGCAGAGGTGGAGCTGACTTGGAGCTGGGGGAGCTTTCAGAAACTTCTCACAGTGGGCCACCCCTGTAACTCCCTTCCCTGGTACCAAAAAAAACCTACCACTCACTCAAACCCAGGACAAACTTCTACATCAGTATTACGGAAGGTTTCTCCTGTTACTCATTGCATGAGGGGAGCTTGATCAGAACTGAATTTGGCTTAACTTGTTTATCTTTCATCCTTGATGGCACTGATCTGGTCATTGTAGTATTGTTTGGAAAATGTACTTTTTAGAAATGAGTCTTCTGTAAAAAAGGTAACGAGAGAGGGCAGATTTTATACTTACACTATACAAAAACTGAAAGGAAATAGAGAAAAAACCCCACTGTTATTTATGAGTTTTTGAAGTTACTGCATTTCTATACAGAATTGCACTATGGTGGTTTTGGCAGAAATGTTATTTTTGTAGAACTCAGATTTTTAAGAATGACAATTAGTGAAATGCATTTCAGAGTGTCATCTCTCAGGTGAGATGAGTTTTAGTAAATGGTAATACTCAGTGTTTATATTAGGTTTGAACAATAAGACAGCAAAGATCGTGACCATCAAAAGATACAATAAATCCTCTATGAGGAACATAACAATAGACTGTTATCAAGTGTGCTAGTTTCTGTACTGAATAGATCAGAAGCACACACCAAGAATACTAATTGAAGGCTTTTTAATCAAAAAAACAGTAAGACCTATACTGGATGGAGTATCACCACATATTTTTTTTTTTTGCATGCAGTGTACTAATGTGAATATAGATGTTAGCTCTTCTCTTATTCAACAGGGAGATGAGCTTCACAAGGTAAAAAGGCAGTGTCTCACACCATAAAGTCAAAATGTCCTATACTGCTGTCCTGCTGCATACAGTCGTGCTGTTTATCCTTTATCATATGTAGCAGGCATGTTTCTGCAACAAATTACAGCAGTTTAATGGCACAGAGCATTTTCCTATTACATAGCTGGGAGCCAAGAACAGTTCTGTAACATACCCACCATGGATTGTCTTCCTAACTAGTTAAAACTGTTGAAGTCCACTGGTCCTGGCACTGAAAATAACTGTCTTTATTTTTCTGCACTCGGAAGCACCACTGGAACTCACCTTCTCTGTTAGAACTTAAGGCTCAAGATGAGGTTGCTCAGTGCCTGGGACATACTGTGTCAATTTTTAAATAATATTTTGTGACATTACATAGAGAAAAAAATGAAGCTGCTTTTTAAGTTGACTGAGGATGACAATAGCTGCAGTTTCCCTCTCTTTCCTAATGCCAGGCAAAGTATTTGAATATATCTGTAGGTGTCATTATTTTTGGACCATCCAAGTCAGGGGGAAACCTGGCTGAAAGACAGTGATCCATCAGTCAACAATTCATCCTTCTGTGAGGAGGTGATAAACAGTGGTATCATTCCATGGCAGATTTTTTTCCTGTTTCCCATTTCATTTTCACAAGGAGAGAATGTTATGTTATGTAGGTATTCTCAGTATTGCCAGTGAGAAAAAGTAAGAATTCATGAGCGGAGGGTGATGATTAAACAGGTGTGTCTATGTGTGTGTCCTTACACATGTATACATCTGTGTTCTTACATAAAAAATCCTACATGGGCATTGTCTGTTTTTAATATGAGCCTTGAGGCTTGTTCTCACTGTAAGGATAGCTTGACTAATGTACACTTGGGTAAAGTCCCTCTCAAATAGTCTGACTTGAATGAGAGCAGTTGTGCTACAAAGTACTGGTATTTGGGTAAGCAGCAGAGAAGTTCAATCTTGTCTCATTACCAGCTCCAGAGCTGTCTGTCTGCGTGTTTGTACACTGGCTTTAAGCCACACTTCACTTACAGGCCAAGTAAAATCAAGGAACCAAATTGTTCTTTGGAAATCTCCCTTCCATGTACTACTGCAGACTGTTCCTGCTGGAGGAAATAATCAGAGAAAGGCGATTGCCATTGTTGGAGGAATTATTAGCATGCATCCAGCTTGCTCATTCTTGGGTTAAAAGATGAAATCTGAGGAAGAAGCAGAAACGGAAACATAAACTCTTTGCGATTTTTTATTATATGGTTATTCCAAGTTCTGTCAAATAAAGAAATAAATATTTGAGAAGCCATGTCATGTTTTCATCTACACAAAAAACATGGAGAAGGAGTGCAAGAGATGAAAGAGAAAGGCTCTTAGTTCTTAGAAACTGGAGATGATTAAGGTTGCTGAGGGACCTGAAACATCCAGGTGAAGGACAATATTGAGAGGAAAAAGTAGTGGATATAGAGAGAAGCTGTTGAAAATGAGGGAGAGGAATGTAAAAGGAAGTGAAAAGAGTGGGAGACCTGCAGAGTTACTAGTAGAAGGAAAACCATGAAGGGAGATTGTATTAAGTGACATTGACTGGGAGATGAGAAGATGATGACATTGGCATAACATTGTTTGGGATGATCCCACAGGCCTATGGTACTCTGCACACCCACTGCACTTACTCCTGGGGTGGTTTTTCAGACGGGGAAGACTGACATTTGCTTGTAGGTGTAACAGTGTAACAGAGATGTCAGGAAATGTGCTCCATCAGATACATTGACATTTTTTCAGCTTGAGTTGTCAGGTGCATTGTTTATACCTCCACTGATAAATAATATCAGAGATGCTGGATGATGTGGCTCTAGGGGTCCATAAGACTGATAGTAAGCAGTGAAAATCATTCTTTTTGCCTCTGCTCTCCTTGTTTGACCTGAAAAGTAAGTAGAGATTTCCTCAGATGTACCAACAACAGATCTCTCAAGTGACGTCTACTGCTTTTACAGTTACTTTTCTCATTATAGTGGCAGTGTTTTTTTAAATTACTTGAAGATGAAAGCAGTAATTGCTGAAAGAAAGCTGAAGAGAATAGTACTGGACCATTGTTTTCCAAATCAGTAAATATTGCAGTCGGTGCACCTTTTATTTGTTTGTTTGTTTGTTTGTTTTTGCTAGTGACATTTAGAGTGTTTTTACTCATTCAAACATTTGGAACGGCAAATTGAGACTGTATTTCCAAAAGAAAAAAAAAACTGTGTTAATTCAGAAAAGAAACTAGAGAAACCACTGTAAGAAATTGTTAGCGCATTGTCTCACATGAAAACAAATAAAAAAGTAATACTGTTGGAGCAGTAATGTGCCCCAAGTATAGATCTAAATATTGTTCTTGGTAAATGTAATCTATTGACAGAATTTGAGATTAGGTGACATCACAGCCCTGACATTACAGTAGGAATGCCAACAATGCTGTACTCCAATTTGTGCCTGAATTTCACAGCAGGGAAAAATATATCATACACATTTATCTTAGCATAAGCAAACATAAGACAAAACAATAATATATGGTTTCTTAAAGATAGGTTTCTAGATATATAATTCAGCATGTATATAAAAACCCCACTGAATAGCTCAGCTGTTTTGCCCAGTTCCTGCTTTTACTGTAAATAACAGTAAAACTCTCATATACTTCAGAGTTGATGATTTGGTAATGGAGGTGGTAGTGTAAAGTCACTATTTAGCAGAAATGTTTGTGAGGACAGGACTGATGTATGGTGAAATTGCTTAGTCCAGCTGATACAGTTCTTAGTTTAATACTGACTTAGAAGCTGAAGATACTAATGAAAGGAATTATTTTTTAGGCATATTCTGCATGGTCAGTTAGGAAACTCTGTGTATTGCTTGTTTTCATACACATATTAAAAAATTCCTTTTTCACAGCTCCAAGAATTTTTGCATCTCTGCCTCATCAGTTCTTATTAGATCCCATGATCAGCTTTCGGTGTCCTTTGGTCTGTGTATTACAGTTCTGGGACTCTGTTGATACTGTTATTAGCTGGTATATAGACTTACCTATAGTTATTAGTCTTCTCATTATACTGATTATGGTGTTGTGATCTTTTTCAGTGTACCTTGAGGACAGTTTTGTAAAATCTGGAGTGTTCAACGTGTCAGAACTTGTGAGGGTGTCCAGAAGTAAGTTATCATTTGCATTTAATAATTTCCAAAGCCTGCTGTAATGAAGTGAAGGTTTTTTTATTGAAGCTTTTTTCTCCCTTAGATGTAAGACTCATAGGAAATGCCTATAACCATGCACAATTTTGATATGTTTGACCACAGTATTACAGTTCATATTGCATGTGTTTGTAATAAAACAAACAGAAGTCTTCTTTTGTCTTTCAGATATTTAAAGATTGAATCAATTTATGTGTCTCTCTGCACAGCTTAATAGACTGATATGTCAATAAAATCACCATACATAACAAAACCTTCTATTTGTTAGTCTTGCTGCTACTTAAGGTTGTCCTACACATCCTTGGATTCTGCTAAGCCATCTGATTATTATTTTAGTTTGTTTTTGAATTTGTAGCTCTTAAAGAAAAATCACAACATGGATATAAAGGATGACTAACTTAATGTATTATATGCTTGTGTTTCTTTTACTCGTATTGGCTGTAATTGAATTTCTAATTACATTGGCTTGCTTTAGCATCAGAAATGTTATGCACACTAAAATACAAAAAAAAAAAAAAGCAAAATAAAATATAAATATGAAAGAACTGGTGAAGCTTTTATTGCAGAAAGAAAAACCAAAATGCATATAACTAAGAAAATCTGTTTTGTTGACATCTATGAATTTGCTATAATAGTATGGCATAAAACCAGTGTATATTTTCATTTGACATTGCTTTCTGAATGCTTCTTTTCTCCCTTTCGTATCAAAATATTTCTCTTAAGACTTCATTAGGAAGTAAACAAGAATACTTGGAAGTTATAGTTAGAAGTGTCTGCAGTGATGACACCAACATTATAATAACTGAATGGTCCAGAAAAATCTCTTTTCTAATGAGGTGAGGACAAAACCAGTGAGGCCCAAGTTTCCAAAACTGTTCATCCAAATTTTGCACAGGAGTTAATTCATGCCAGGTCAGGATGCTTGAGGAGTTTAATTAACTTAGTGAGGCTTAGGATGCATGTATCATTTCATTTGCTATGGTCTGAAATTAATATTTCACAATTAAAATTATGTGAAGTCCTTCAGCAAAATACTGAGCACTGCCATCCTGCAGTGTTAAGATACATTCTTTTTTATGCTTGCTGAAGGTATGGTTTTGCTGTTTTAGCAGGCTGAGGATGTGCGAAATACAGCTTTCATTTAGTTGTTAGGTTGTTAAATACATTTTAAAGCATCAGGCTGTTCAGATTAAAAAAGAATCAATATTGTAGTTATGTTATGAAATCATACCTTCTGCAGCTGTTATACAGCATATACTTCTAATAATAAGCTTGAAAGCATGTGGTTTCTGTGGGATTTCTTACCATGCATTTGTTTAACCTCAAGCCGCAACAGAGTTGTACTTTAACTGTCAGGAAAAATGCAAACCTTCAGATACATTACACAACATGCAATTATTCTTTTAGGTGCCAAAGGTAGTTAAAATGCACAATGCACAGACAGTGAACAAAGGTAAATACACCACAATATGTAATGTATAATTTCTTCTTGAAGTGCCAAGATGTATGGTACATAGACTCTGTAAGGAGGTGAAGATAACACTGAGTGTGTGTGTTTATGTGTAGGTGTACATATGCAAAGTAGTACCTGTGGCACTGGGGGAAAGAAAAAGGAGGTGGCAAAACATGCTGTCAGCACAGAAGGCTATTATTAATACAAAAGAGTTTAAGGTGAAAGAAGTTTGTGTGTCCTCAAGTTTGTTCTTTCCAGTTATTTCAGTTCTTTAATAAATAATTTTAACTGTTCTTATAAACTCTGCCTCATTCATTATAGAAGTCCTTCTGCAGAAGGTTAGATGTTGTGCCAACATTTGTGTTACCTTTTTCATATTGATAATTCCAGGTTATCTGTTATACAACAAATACGTGATGTCTACGTAACTGCTAAGGGATTGCTAAGGATGGGAGAAGATAATTCACTTTTTTAGATACATAAACATTGCTAGAACTTGTTTGTACTTGGTTTCTGCAAGACTGAGAAAATTAGATACATGTAGTAACATCTTGATATTCTTCTCAGTGTGAAAAATTAAAAGATGGCTAAAAAGATAGAAGATTATCCTTGACTCATTACGATGATGTGTTTTTCAGCACCCATAACGCAGGGAACTGGAGTGAACTTCCCAATTGGAGAGCTTCCGAGCCAGCCGTATTACCATGATATGAATTCGGGTGTAAATCTACAGAGGTCCTTGTCTTCTCCACCAAGCAGGTAAAAACTTGAAATAAGTGCTAATGTGAAACCAGGTTTCATAGTGTAGAACATGCAATTCAAAATTACTGTCAACAGCTACTATTTTATGAATTTCCTCTGATTTGGTGAGGTAGGCTACTTACATATGTTACTATAATTTATGAACAGATATATATATATTGCAAATCTTGTAACCTGAAGTGGCGTCATTATTGCCTGTCATTGCTGTTGGTATCGAGGATGGAAATAACTTTTGTCAGGGTCTGAAGTGCTCGCTAAATCATTTGCCAAGAGAACAGCTACGCATCCTGAAACTGCTGCTGGGCTGCAGGAAGGCCTAGCATCCAGGAACCTGCTGGCAGGCCTCAGTGCCTCAGGGCCGTTGGAGGCCTGGATGCTGTCACTGGGGGCTCCCTTTTGAACCTCTGTCTTGAAAGATATGTTGAGACAGATACTGCTTCCTGTTCAAAAGGCGTCAGGGCAGGAATATAAAGACAAGGTGTCTTTATCTGTAGCATCAACCCAGCTCATGAAAGTATGTTTCCTGCCTCACCCTTTCAAGGGGCATTTCCCAGCACAGTGGGAACAAAGAGGAGCATGTGAGGTAGTCACAGGATCTCTATTTTTTCTCAAGGGTCTTCATGTGCTTGCTACAGGCAGTTTGATCTGAGAGACCCACTTCTTCCCTGCTTCAACATTCTTCCTTCTCCCAACTCTTGGAAAGACCCTGTTGCCTCCCTCAGGAGCAGCTGGCAGGCCCACCGAGATGGAGAACCTGCCGTGCCCTCCTCCTGACTCCTGATAATGTACTAATGCACTCTGACTTCTGATAATATACTGTCTTCTGTCACACCTCTGTGCCCCTTTGGTGTTCTGAAGCTGTCTGATGTACCATGAAAGCATAAGCGCTATAGGACCTCTCATTGCCCCATGTTTCTGCAGAGCAGTGAGTCAGGAGGTGTCTTCACAGTGGGACAGGATTTAAGAGGACTGCAGGGGACTGGGGCACTCTTCCACTAGCACCTGGTGCTTCTGAGTTAATTTGCTCATTTTCCCCTATTTCCTTCCATTGTATTTTCAACTTGGCAGTTTACCTAACACATTTTAGAAATGGGTAGAATAATTCTCACACTGTTGTCTAAATAATAGTAGTAGTAGCAGTAGTAGTAGAAGTAGTAGTAGTAGTAGTAATAATAATAATAATGATGATAATAATAATAATAATGATGATGATAATAATAATAATAATAACAACAACAACAATAATAATACCACCATCACTATTAAAACTTTCCTTCTGGTTTTCCTTGGCAGTCAGCATAACAGCTTCAGTATATATTGTTATGAAGAAACTTGACTTCCCTCCACTGTATTGAAGTGCTACCTCATTTTATATAGTGTGACTTGAAATATGGGCCTTTTTATTGCTTTTAATTAAACTAGTCTAAAATGAAAAGTCTTTGTTTCAGATTAGACCTCTTTGAAAAGCTTAGGCTTTTGACCTGGTGAAATATACCAAACTACATTTTTTCCTTATTAACACATTCAGAAAAGTTCCTGTTTTACCCTCACTTTTGAGCTCACTGTCATGGCTCAAACCACAACAATTAGTAATGCTTTTCCAGTGTTTTGTTTTGCTGTTATGGTTTCTACATAGTGTTTAATACCCTCATGACACAACCTTTCTTTAGTAAGTTACAGGAACTTGTTTCTTGGTTGTTCAGCCAAATGCTGGTAGGCTTTTATAAGTTACCCATTCATGCCATCTCTGAAGTATTAAATCATGTGAAAAATGCAAGCACATACCTGCATTACATATTAAATATCATCTATGTAAGTTAGTCTAGGCTCTAATATGCACTTTTTTTTTTTTTTTTTTTTTTACTTTGCATGCCTGGATTACTTTCTATTGAAATATTTGTTGAAATCCAAACAGTTTATATGCCACTACTAGCTGTGTATCATATTCACTGCCAAATCTCACATTATTTCAACAGCAAAAGACCCAAAACTATCTCCATAGATGAAAATATGGAGCCAAGCCCGACAGGAGACTTTTATCCTTCTCCAAATTCACCAGCTGCGGGGAGTCGGACGTGGCATGAAAGAGATCAAGGTGAGTAACATGGGACCATTTTAACTCAAAGTATATTCAAATGTACAATAAATCTCTGCATCTGCCTTTTCATTACTGTAATAAAATTATGGCTTTTTATAAGAATAATTTATTTTTCTGTGTGTTTGCTGGTTTTCTAAATGTATATTTACAAATGTATGTTTACAAAAAGCTCATGATATAAACAACCACATAACATTTTTTCCATGTGGTGATTGTCTCTTGTTTGAAAAAATGTGTGGCAAGTGAGGTACTTGATATCGTGTATGCTGTGATCATCCCAGCAGGATTTTGAATACAAGGGTTTCAAATAGAAACCCAAACATCTCCATACTATGGTTGATTCAACACTAGTTTATTCAGGTTTTGTTTTACCCTGACAGACTGCTGTTTGTGTATTTAGTCCATGCTATGTGACTCAGAATAGGTCCAATAGGCTCTTTTCTGAAGAGCCCCCACATAGCTTTGTGGGACTATATTCATATGTTAAAGGGTGTTGGGAAATAATGTTTTTTTGATTATCAGAAGCAAGGAACATGTTTGTGTGGAGAAGAAAGTTATGGTTATCAAAACTGTAAAATGAATTGTCATGACTTTCCCTCACGTTGTCTTGATACCTTATAAGCCTAGATGCCAGTTTAGTCCTTTCCTTCACCTTTGTGATATGAAAATGTGTTTAAACCCACATGTATTTGAACAGAGTTAGTTAATGGATCCTGTGGCTGAGGTGCTGCAGCTATTTGGAGAGTTTGTGAAATATACAGCACAGAATGTGAAAGTGAAATAGAGAAAAATACATGCTGTTGCTTCCTTTGCTGATCTTCCAATGTTTGTCCTCTTTATCCCCATCCACTGCTTATTGTTGCTCTCAATTCTTCAGTAACTGACTGACCCTTTGTTCTTACCTCATTTTGATATTGTTTTACACTTATTTTTTTTTCTTTCTATCTGTTTTGGTTTCTTTTTGTTTGTTTGCCTGCTAAGTTTTCCCTTTCATGTCTGTGTGAAAGATAGTATGTGACTGGTATTTAATTCAGCTGCCTTTCATTTTCACATTTTCATTATAGTTGGTCTCCTTTTAATCTGCTTCTGCCTACCCTCTGATCTATGTTGTCATCATTAGGCTGTTCGTTTCACACAATGTCTATTAGTCTTTGTCATTTCTTTTGTACTTTTTGTTTCTTACAGAGGCTCTGGTATTTTCTTATTTCTAGCTGTTTACAGCATTCACTGTTGAATTAAAAAAAAAAAAAAAAAAATCTTGCCCATGGCTTTATGTAGCCAGACTTAAGGACAGCAAAATAGCAGTTCACCCTCATGCAAAATATTTTCCTCTCTGACTGTTACCTGATTTGCCATAACACTTTATTATGATTTTTCATAAAAATCAGTGTTGTACCTCAACTAATTTTTGTGCTTTTTAAATAATTATTTTTGTGGTTGTTGGGAAAACAGCCTGTCATTCCTCTCTGAAGTGGTCTCCACATATCCCCACTTGTGAAATGAAGTCCTCTTATGCGGCTGAGTGAGATGTAGGGGCTTCTGAGAAATGCAGTGCTGCATGGACGGCTGAGCCAGAGTCCTACTGATGAAGTCTTTCACAGATGATCCCTATAGTTCCCAACTACCTCAATTGCTTTTTAGCTCTTCAGTCATTCTGCTTGCAATGAACTGTGTTGTGTGAACACTGGATTTGTTCTGTTTTACCAGCATTCTTCATGTCAGTAGCGAACAATGTTATTGTTCAAATTGCTTGGGTAGATTTACGATGAACCTTAATTTTGGTGCCACTGGGTAGCTAGACTTCTGGACTGAAACAGCCTTTGACTCCCTAGATATGTTTCATAAACCAGAGAACCCCAAAAGATAAGAAAGAGTGAATAAAAGAGATAAACTTGAATCAGTGTATTTTATTTTTGCTTCCTGGAGTTTACATTCCTTCCTGAATGTCCTGTTTTCCAGCACTGCTGGGCCTAGTGATATTTTACCAGATCCCTGACAGTGAGGTTGTCTTTGAGACACTTTGAGGGACTTTGTTTCTCCTGTCCTTAAGATGTTTTTCCATTTCTGCAGAGGACAGATATATCACTGATCAGTCTGAAAACAGTTACACTGGGGGAAGCATAAGCCTTTTGCCCCTAACCATTTATGTTTGTCTCCAGTCACTTTCTGAGGTTATCTTGCTGCTGCGGAAACATTGTAAGGTAGTGGCCACAGTGCCTATCCTTGGTACCCAGCCTCACCGGGAAGGGGTATGTGGCAGCTCCTGGCTTATTTGTTCTGTTGCTAGTTTGTAGATGCTTGGTATCATCTTCATACTATCATGTATCTGTGTAAAGCTTCTTTTGGACACAGAGCTCTTACCAGGATATGATATTTGTGAAAACCTATATTCTGTTTCCTTATGCCTGCAAGCACAAAGATAATATAAATAAAAGTTTGGAGGTGGTTTCTACACCAGAGAGCTCACTGGTACTACTTCCTTCTCTCCCATGGAGATCTGCCTGTCATATGAGGTTAGGTATAAATGAAAAAAAGGAGAAGCAATTTGGTATCACATTTCTGTTCATCCAGTGTCACCAAATGATGCTCATGTAGTTCCAACAGGCACTGCTTTTTCAGGCAATCTCCAAAGGTCATCAGCATCAGAAATGTGAATCAATCCATAATACCCACACATGAGACTATGCAGAGGTATCATGTTTATGGGTAAGTAGCTTCTCTTTCAGTCTGATGCAGTTTTAACTTTTCTAAGAGAAACAAAATCAGAAATGGGGTTGATAGTAAGATCCAGCATTACTAATTTTAGTTTCATTGTCTCTGTTTTGAATTTGGCAGAGCAAAGTCTCTGACCTCTGATCTGAAATAGATGTAGTTACTTCATCTGCGTACCTGTGTAATGTATTTTAATAGAAATAGAAATGACAAAGACTTGAAAGATTCTTTTATCATGAATACTTTTCATATCTTTATTCAGCTGCATTTATAAAGTAGCAGAAATGAGATGACAGTGGTAGCTTGGAACTGGAGATAGTAAAAATAAAACAGTGATAGCTGCAACAGGTTGAAATAAAGTAGTTAGGAGTTTCATGGGTGTCTAGGGGGTATCTAACCATTTTGATAGTGAGAATGGGACAAAGATTAATGGGTAACACAGAAATATGCTGAGATTAAAAATGTGACGGATGAAGATTTGCAGTGGGATAGGCAGGTTAGATCAGCCTTTTATTGCTGTGAAATACAAATATCATGTAGTTTAGTAGGTAAGCCGACATCAAGAGAGGAGTGATTCTGTATGAGTGATTTTGTTGTAAGTCTTACAGTTTCTACAGCTTCTCTACCATGCAAACATACATCATGAGGGGTAGGAACATGACTGCAGGAGTTTCTGTGAGTTAACCATGATGTGTCATCTGTGAAACTAAGAAAAATCTTCCTCATACCACACTCTACCTTCAGTTGTAAAACTCCAGACTTTGTCCTTTTTCTATTATCTGTCTTCTTTCTGTTGTACTACTTTCAAAAATGTTTTGATAAGATTTCTAGATGTTGTGTTTTATAGTCAATTTTAGGGGAGTTGACTGTTTGAAGATGTAATTCTGGGCAGAAATAAGTAAACATATCTGGAAAATGGTAACTTTATATGGCATAAGGTTAGTCAAAGTCAATCCACAGAGTTATGAGCGGTGGCTTCGTTATCCAGTGCTCTAGTATTGTTATGCATGTTATTGTTCTGATATAAAAATATAAAAGCTCTAATTAACTGAAAATAGTATTAAAAATTATTTTTTATTTGTATTTATTGAAGTCAGATTATAAATCCTTATGGAAGAAAAGAAAAGCTTGTGAAGCCATGATACTGTCCTGGAGTTTTACTTCATTGACATGCAAAAGTTTGTGACTATTTTAAAAATATACGTAACCACAAGAGTATGTGTAACAGTTTCAAAAATAGATTAAAAAGAAAAATACAATGGATTTACAGTGTTGGTTTTGAGTTTACATACATTCATTGATTGTGGGAAGATTCTGTAGTTTGTGCCATTATTTTTACTATGTTAAAATACTTAAAATATGACTCTATATGCGTGATTTTTTGAAACAGGTATGAGGTGTTCCTGCAGAGCAAATAGGCAGGTTTATAACAGCAAAGATTTCTCACAGACCTTCTCTCTACCATTAACCTTTCAAGTAACTAACCATCCTCCAAAAATCCCAGATCCTAAGAAAGTAAAATGTTGTCTCTGAGAATGATGCATTACTTAGAAATAAAGCCCTAACATGACAATTATGAGTTCAGTTTCTGTGTCTGCTGTCAGATCTGGTGTAGGTTATTTGTTCTTTCTTGTACCTTGCTATTTCCAAGTGAATGTCTTATTAACTTCAATAATGTCTGGAACGTGTCTTACTTATATTTCTACCAACTGGAATTGTATCTAAATATAAAAAGTAGTTTGCTGTAAATTTCCTGCAGACTTCCTTTTTCCAGGTAGCTGTTGCTGAATTCTTTACATGTTTCTATATTAAACAAAATTTTGAGTTCCTACAATAGCATAGTAATACTTTGTGAAATAGATGAAAGTTGCTGCATGAGTAAATTTGATGAGTGTTTTAGAAATTCTGAGGAGGATAAAATTTTGTACAGTTAAAAAAAAAAATCACCTACCCCATTTGGAACAGTTATTAAGAAGTTACTATAAATATAACAACACTAGTAACTAGTGCAGTGGATAAAAAAATACATTTGATCTAATAGGCTAAGGACTGTTGGTGAACACTTGATTTATTAACTGGTAAGTAAATCATACACTTTTTCCTTAACTCATAAGAAAACAGGAATATCAGAAGAACAGAGCACAGTGTGTGCACCTATGGCTCCTCTTTTAAAAGCTAGCTTAACAAAGTCCATTAACGTAATTACAGAGAATTTCAGTATTTGACCTTGAGATCTATTTTACTGTTAAAGTGTTACAACACTGTGTATGTTGTAAATAAATAAG